GTTTCCAAAACTACACCTTGGACTCATATGGGAGTGCGCCGCTCCCGCTATCCAAACACGATCGAGATAAAGGCGATGTTCTCGGCGCAGGACTGGGACGTGTATAAATACTTCTCCAGCTTCTGTCTCTCTCTTCTCTACAGCACTTCCGATTCTGAAGTTCAAAAACAAAGAAGAGGGAGACCATGGCTGCGACCCTGCTCTTCCTTCCCTGTTTATTATCCAAAACTCTGGGCCAACAACTTCATGGAGTGCGTTGCTCTCGTTCACTAAAACTTACGGCGGATCACATGTGCTCTTAGCGCAGGACTGGGAGGTGTATAAGTACCCCGCGGATTCTTGTTATATTCTTCTTTACAATACCCCCAGTCTTGGAGTCCAAAAATCGGTATCGGCAAAACCATGGCTTCGGCTGGTGCTCTTGCTGTCCGGGCTTTTCCCAAAGGAATTGTGGCAGATGTGATGGAGTGCGCTGCTCGTTCGCAGAACTATTGAAGCGAATTCTTATAGTGATGATGATGATGATGATGATGATGATGATCATCATCATCATCATCAACTCTCAAATGCCTCAACCACACGCTATCAAAATTTCCCTACTATCGTACACAAGTTATCCAACCTCCCATCCAGACCTCAACCCTCCACCCCTCTTTTCCCATCAAAACCCCCACCCTATCACTTCGCCTTCGGCTTAACACTAAAAAAACTACTCATCTTCTTCATCCCGCTCGTATCAACCTTCTTAAGCGCCTTAACGCCCCTCCCCTCACTCTTCTTCTTGCGCTCCTCATCTTCCTTCTTCCGTTTCTTCTCTTCCCTTTCCGCAATCTTCTCTTCGTCTTCTTCAATCGCGCGTTTACGACTGATGTTGTCTGATATGCTGCGTAGGGACAGCGCTTCGGATTTGAGGGTTGCTATGGCGGAGAGGTGGGTGTCGAGGGGTGTGAAGCGCGGGGTCAGGAGAGCGAGTAGGGGTGTGCGAAGCGATGGCGGGGTGTAGGAGGAGAAGAGGTACGTTAGGGATGTGCGGAGGCGGAGGAGGTGGGGGATTTCGGCGGGGGTTGTAAGGGTAGGTTTTGAGGGGGCGTCGTCGGGTGGTGTTATGGTTGTTGTGACGCTCGCTTGCGAGTCGATTGCTGTGCTGTTTTCCTTTTCTGAATCCCCATCCGGGGCTGTTGTGGTGGTGGTTAATGTACTTTCCTTGCGCTTTATGCTCATGACGGGTATCTCCAAGGCTGTCTTGATGAATCTCTCCTCCATTGACGGCGGAAGCCCCTTCTTCACCATGCGTTCGGCTTTTGCAAGAAGGACTTCGAGAAGCTTGGGGTGCGAGAGGCGGTACATGGATTCTTCGCCTGCGTCGACTGTGTCGCATATCCTTCGCATCTTGGCTTCTATCATAGTCTTGAGGGTGTGGTATTGCGATAACAGCGCTTTCCAGTGTGGGGACGAAGACGAGAGTGCGTCGAGGTAGTCGTCGAAGGCGAGGAAGTGCTGTTTCGTGTCTTTCGCTGACTTTGGTGTGAGAGCGGGGAGGATGAGGAAGAGGATGTCGATGGGTGTTGCGATGAAGAGGTCGGCGGATTTGGTGATGTAGCCGCTGCCTATCCGTGAGGCGTCTATCTCTTCTGTGGTGTCATCCTCGCACTTCTCTCCTGTTATCAACCAACTCTTGAAGTCTTTCTTCGGCGCAGCAATGCGTGTGAACTCGTAGAAGCCTTTCTCAGGGCAGAAGTAGTATCTTGAGGGTGTATCATTGGCGGGGTTGTCGAGGCTGACTATGCGCGCGTCTTTGGATGTGTCTTTTGGTAGAACGAACAGCTTCGGGGGGTTCGATGTGCTTGCGGGCAGCGGTTTGGCTGTCGTAGTGGGTTCAGGCGTGGATTCTTTAGGCGTAGCCTTTGCGGGTTTCGAGCGTGTACGCGCCATTGCGAGATGTCTGCTGGTCCAATTGGGCATATACAGTATTGAAAGTGGTGTATCGAATTCGTGGTGGAATCGGAGTGCAGGCGCGTCGCGTGGGCGCAACCTTACACGCGCAATCCCTGTCACGTCACGGTTTCGGATTAGATTAGTCTGGGGTGAACCACAGTCCGGTGTCAACAAACGCTACGGGGCCGGGCTATGCGCTTGTGAGTCCTGCCTGACGATCGACTGTTTCCCATCTTGCTTTTCCCGCTTTCCAGTATTGGCGTTGCTATGGGCCACTGCGAGATAGCGCATCCGATATTGCACCATCACAACAATGATCGTGCGGGAGAGCCCCAAGTCAAAAGGTAAGTCGCCCATGTGAGTGTGCCGGGCATGCGCTGACTCTGTGACAGTCAAGAACAACCAGCCCAACTGGCCCCCGCAGTCGCCCGTCGAAGCCCTCCTCAGCTCGCCATCCGGCCGTAAGAGGTACGAGAGCCGCCGCCAGCGCGACTCCGCATCGCCGTCCCCCTCGAAACGCCGCCCAATGTCGCGCGGAGGTGTGCCAGCCGGCAGTGACGGAGAGGAGGATGAGGAGACGCTCCAGCTGCAACTCCAGGCCATCGAGGCCAAGCTGAAGCTGAAGGCGCTGCAGAAGAAGAAGAACGAGTCTCAGGATCTGGATCGCAATGGAGCATCATCACGAGCGAGCATGGCCACCAGCATGCGCAGAATCGACCTGCCGCGGCCCGAGACCAGGCAAGAGACCGACGTCGAGGTACCACGATCACCAGTCCGGATGCGACAGGCGCCAACCGAGCCGAAGAGCCCTGCGCGGGTCATGTTAGGGATAGACAAGGGACTCACAGCCCGCGATGTTAGTCTCAAGCGGCCAGGGAGTGCTGTCAGCGGGCGGATGTCGCGGTTGGGCTCGTCGAAAGAGGTCGAGCCGCCCAAGATCAAATCCTTCAGTGAGCGCATCGCAGAGAGCAGGAACAAGGAAAAGGAGCGCGAAGAGAAGGAGGACAAGGCCGAACAGAGACGGAGTAGGGGATTTGGGCTGCAGAACATCGAGGCGCTGAAAGACCGGCCGTCGCTATCACGAACCAGCTCTTCTCAGAGTACCGACACAAAGACCTCGCGCGACATGCCTCCGCCGGCCTCGAGGAACCACAGCCGAACGCAAAGTTTACAGAACCGCACATTTGGGGGCCCGCCCACTCCAAGACCAGGCTCAACATTGTCCTTCAGACCTGAAAGTTCCCGCCCAACATCGTCCTCTTCCAAGGCCACGTCTAGCAGCTTCGGCTCAACACCGACCGCCGTAAAGTACGCCGAGATCTCGTCGCGTGACGAAAGCGCCGATGCTCCTAGTTTCGAATCCTTTTCTGGTCTACATCTCAAGTCGAGAGAAATGCAGCACAACGTGGTCACCCGCACCCTGGAAGGCAAGACAGTCCTCACTATACCTCAGTTGTTGAAGACCGTCAAAGCGCCAGAGTACGATCCGCCAGATTGGGAGAACGACTATGTTGTTCTTGGGGTTATCTGCTCCAAGTCGACGCCACAAAACTCCAAGAACGCCGCGAAGGATCAGACCAAGGGCAACCAGGACAAGAACATGGACCAGAACGGCAAGTTCATGGTTATCCGTCTCACGGATCTCAAGTGGGAGCTCGATCTCTTCCTGTTCGATACCGGCTTCTCGCAGTTCTGGAAACTGCCTCTTGGTACACTTGTTGCTATCCTCAACCCAGATATCATGCCACCACGGAATCGCGATACCGGCAAGTTCTCACTGAAGTTATCAAGTTCAGACGACACCATCCTTGAACTTGGCACAGCGCGAGATCTAGACTTCTGCCATGCACAACGGAAAGACGGCAAAGAATGTGGTCAGTGGATAGATGGTCGCAAGACTGAGTTCTGCGAGTTCCACATCCAGCTCCAGGTCGATAAGGCTAAGAAAGGCCGCATGCAAGTCAATACTATGACCGGATTTGGCGGAGGACCAGGCGGCGGCATGTTTGGTCGACGCGGTGGCCCGAAAGGTGATGAACTCAAGAGGGAAGGCAAGTATCACGACCGAGAACTCCACGAGACCGTCTATATCGCACCAAGACCCGGCGGCGCAGCCAAGCTCATTGACCGTGATCACCAAAACTGGGAAGGCGGAGCAGGCCGAGAAGACCGCTTCCGCAAGCAACTCGCCGAAAAGGAGAAGGAAAGAGAACTAGCAAAGAAGCTCGGCACAATGGGAGATGGCAGCACCGGAGGCGACTACATGAAGCTCAAGGGTGCTGGTACCCAGAACCTCCCCGCAAGAGGCTACACATCGTCGCAAGGTTCCTCAGGCGCAAAGCGCGACAAGCCAGCCGACGTGGACTTTACCAGTCTACTCAACCGTACGTCAGCCGATGTTTCTTTGGCGCCTGTTAAACGTAAACGAACAGCATCGGCGAAATCCTCAAACTCGAGCGACCCCGTTGGTTGGGGATTCAAGTACGGTCGTATCCCATCACCGAAGAAGGACACTTCTTTCCCTTCTGCATTCCGCGGAACACGCGAAGCCAGTCCAGCAAAGAAGAAAGCGCGTCTCCTGTTAGCCGGAAAAGGCATCCGCGAACCAGGCCGCGAGAGTCTAGGCGGTCTCGACGCTGGTCTTATTGCTGCCATGGACGACGACGACGATGACGATTTGGAAGTTGTTTAATTCTTTTGGAAAACACTAGGGGAGGCATACACAAGAAAACATGAAGGGGAGGGCGTTTGGGTAACAACAGCTCGCTGATTGGCTAGAGCTAAGCGAGCAACGGGGTGCATTTCGACTTTTCTGGGCTGATGGATACCGAAGGCTTTAGCGTGGAGCGAAGCCGCATTAACGACTTTCCTTTTGTTTTTACTTGTACAATATTATACCCGCTTTGTTACGCTGAATTGTATACTGCGTTTACTTTCGAAACGAATTGAAGCGCAGGAGAAACGCGTGCTTGACATTGTCTCTATTGACCATCCTGACGACACGTGCAGCCACACCATCAAGGGAAAGAGCAGGACCACAACTTCCGAACCCAGAACATACCAACATGGCGACCTCAGACGTCAAACCCTCGGAGAAGATCTATGCCCTCATCGACTACGAAGACCCCTACGTCCAACCCCTCATCATCGCCGCCCTCAGGAAACGCCTGCCAAACTCATCCTACGAGTTAATATCATCCATCTCCCAGCTTCCCAGCCCATCATCCCCCCTCCTGCAATGGGTCCAATACGAATCCATCGACTTCGACCACCTCATGGAAAACTCCTCCACCAGCCTCTCCAACGCCTACATAATCCGCAAAGCCCTAATCCGGAAACACTACCTTAGCACCACCATCGCGAATTGGATTACCAAGTACCCGGACAGCGTACTCAAGAAACACGTGAAACCAAGTGTGGAGTTTGAAGTCGACTACGCCGAGTTTTTGGATGATGCGCTGGTTGAAGCGTGGGAGTTGAAGGAGAGTTGGGCGAGGAATGAGGGGTTAGATGGAGATGGGGAGGCTAAGAAGAGGGAGTGGTGGATTTTGAAACCGGGGATGAGTGAGAGGGGGCAGGGGATTAGGCTGTTTAGTAGTGAGGAGGAACTGACTGAGATTTTCGAGGAGTGGGATCCTGAGAGTGATGATGAAGATGAAGAGGAGGAGGATGTGAGAAGTGACGCCGGCGGCGGTGTTACTGGCAAGGCGGAGGGAGAGCGAGAAGAGAAGGAAGAGGGAAACGGCATCATAACATCCCAACTCCGCCACTTCATCGCACAACCCTACATTCACCCACCCCTCCTTCTCACGCCACCCCATGCCCCTTCGTCAGAACTGCGCAAATTCCACATCCGCACCTACGTCCTCGCCACCTCCGCCCTGCAAGTCTACATCTACCGCCCCATGCTCGCTCTCTTCGCTGCGCGGCCGTACGTCCCGCCTTGGGACGACGTGTTACAGGACGATCGCGACGAGGCTATGAAGGCGCACCTGACGAATACGTGTTTACAAGAGAGTGGGGATAGGGAGGGGAGTGTGGGGTTATTCTGGTCTCTCTCCGACTCTTTACCTGCACAACCAGATCTCGGTTCCGTGAAACTGGATGCACAGCCTGATTGGAAGGACAAAGTGTTTGAGCAGATCAAGGAAACAACGGGTGCGACGTTTGAAGCTGCGGCGAGGGGGATGTCGATTCATTTCCAGCCGCTGCCTAACAGTTTTGAGATTTTTGGGCTGGATTTCATGGTGGGGATTGAGGAGGATGGCGGACTGAACACGTATCTGCTAGAGGTAAATGCGTTTCCGGATTTCAGACAGACGGGGAGCGAGTTGAGTGGGATGATTGAGGGGCTTTTTGAAGGTGTGGTTAATAGGGGGGTTGTGCCTTTCTTTGGGGTAAAGGGAGAGGGAGGGGACAGAGATGACTCGATGGTCAAGGTTTTGGATATTGATCTGGGACGGCGGTGAGAAGGGTGACTTGTGGAGAGGAGATGGGACAGCATAGTATGGTCACAGCGAATAAGTTTGGTCAGAGTTATCACTCATATTTTCCTTGGTCTATACTACGTTCCCATCCATATCCTCCCATTACCATCGATACAACCGCCAATCGCCGTAGACCAGCTCGGTGTCTGTTCATCGAGACGCCCAGATACCAAGCAACCGCATACAGTGATCCCGCAGTCGAGACTATTCCTTACTTACTAAGTTACTCTGGCCAACGCACATATGCGTGCTGTCCAGTAAATGTCCCAGAGAAAACACCGATTACAATGCCTTCTCGGCAAAGAAAGGTTTCCATCCCTCTTCAATGCCAAACAAACATTAAAGGCCGTCAGTAATGCGAACCTTTTCGTAATGTAATCGTGGGTATCCTGATCCTGTCCCTCGACTTGAATAGGTCGAAGAACACAAAAAGCAAACGCTCGCTATGCAAACAATCAGTCACAAAGGACCTGATGCAAAAGAGGAGTTGGGAACGCTTGGTGATAGCATCTCAACACAAGCTACAATGAAGACTTGTTCAAGACGAACGGGCTGAGAAGGCCGTTAGATGTTGTCAATTGACATGGATGAGGTGGAGTGCTCACTGCGAGCCCGCTTGTCTGCTGCCTCGCGCTCGAGCGGCTCACCGCTGCGCTTCTTGGATGTCTTGGTGGAGCTGCTGGAGCTGTGCGCTGACTTGACACGCGACCATGAATCAAACGAGATCTCTGTTACTGTATAAGCGGGGGTTTCACTGGCGAAGATTGAAGAGACTTACCCTTCTTGAGCTTGCGGGTCGTAGGTGGCGGCGATGTGAGCAGCGATGGTGTTGGGACGGCGTTCTTGCCCTTCTTGCGGCTCGGGGTCGCGACGGACGCATCGATGTCGGTGGTCGCCTCCTCGTCGTCGGTCTCAATACCGTTTGCGCGGTTGCGCTCTTTGATCTCTGCCTGGAACAGAAGACGGGGTTTGATTGACGAACGAGTAAGCGGGCGGCGGGCCTCGTGACCAATCTGGCGGCGGACTTGCTTGTCATCAGCGGAGAGGTCGTCGTCTTCCTCTGCCGCTGAGGCGCCGGAGGGTGCGTCGTCGTGGAACTTGCGGAAGACCTTGCGGCCCCGGAAGATGTACACCATGCCTTCGTCACGGTCGACGGCCGCCTCCATCTTGGCTGTCTTTCGATCGACGACTTTCTTTGACTTTTGAGGAGCAGCCTTTGCCTTGCCCTTGCCCTTGACGGTGATGAATGGGTTGTCTTCAGTCTGGGCACCGGGGGTGGGTACACGCTCCTTGGAGTCGGTGTAGATGGGGATCTTTTCGGTGTTCTCATCCATCTGCTGGGCGAAGCTCTCTAGAGTGTAGAGGTTCTTGGTCTTGCGGCCCTTGCGCGGGGTCGGCATGGCTTCGTCGATGGTTGAAGGTCGGTTGGCAGGGAACAAGACGCGGGCGGTCGAGCTGACGTCTTCGATGCGACGCTTGCGCGGCGTCTTTGCGGGAGTGGGGAGCATGCCCTGTGGAGAAGTTAGCATGTTGGGTTGTAGTGGGTGTGGAGGCCGTCCGGCACTCGACGCGGTTGTTTGTCAACCGCATCGGGCCCAGGCGGTCACCTCAGGTAACATACAGGAGCCATGTTCGCAAACAAGGTGCGCCGGGACGAGCTTGGTGCAGCAGTGTCGGAGTCAGAGTCGAGCGGGTTGAGGTCCAAGGGCGCGCGACGGGTCGAGCGTGGAGAGCGGAGGTGTTGGTGTTGTGGGGATGCAGGCGACGATGGGGGTGAGAGTGCAAAGGAAGCGTTTGCGCGGGCAGCAGAACGCTTGGCGTGAGAAGAGGCCGTTGGCGTGATGTCGCGCCTGGTCCGTGGGCTTGACCGCTCCTGTTGGTGAGTGTGAGCGTCGTGCTGGGCGGCCACTCTGCGCGATCGGCGCGGTGAAAACGGCTCGTAGTTGTCTCCATACAGCGGCGCGGGCGGCGTGTGGACGCGACGGGGCGGGGACGGCGTGCGCTCCATGTTGGGTGGGATGATGCGGGTGTTTGTTTGGGATAGGGCAGTTGTGGTGTTGTTGTAGCAATACAGGGCGAATTGTGGGTATCCAAAATCAAAACAATGCCACAGCAAGCTCGATGTCGCAGCGCCTCAACGTTGGGATGACAATGGATGCAGTATCGATATGCGCGCAAGTGGAGATGGCGGTAGGGCTGGTGATGGTGAAGGTGAAGGACAAAGCCGGGTGGAGACAATGGGCTATGTCACGACGGGGAATGAAGGAAGTCGCGAGGTTGGGACGGCAGGTGCAGATGGCTGGTGCTCCTTCCTTGGCGCAACGCGGAACATCAACAAACCCCTGCTAACCGCTGGCCCCGCCAAACCAGATACGTCAAACACGCCAACGCCTGTCAGTGGACATGCTGTCGTATCAATTCGTTTAGACCAGTCCCACGCAATACACAACACGTTAACACAACATGGACCCGCCGAACCTGGGCGCGCTTGACCTCTCCGACTCGGACACGGACGCGTTGTTTGACACGCCTGCGGCACGCAAGACCAAGAAGCAGACAAAAGATGCGGACAACGATGCAGCAAAGACACGGTCAAAGGAGTCGCATTACACGACAGAAGAGGCGCGCGAGGCAGCACTGCGCAGGGAGTTGGAGAGCATACGAAACGTCAACAAGGTCATCGAGGGTGTGGTGGAAAGCCTGCAAAAGGCCAAGGACAACATGGCTGTAAGGGACAATAGTAGAACTGCCGCAGTCTCTAGACTGACGATGAATAGACTGTATCACGCACCGTCCAGAACGCGTCTACCCTGCTGCAAACATGGACGCGCATACTTTCCCAAACAGAACATAATCAGCGTCTAATCTTGAACCCGCAATGGCAGGGCGCGTCGCAAGATTTGGTTGATATCGAGGAGGAAGAAGTACACCGTCAGCAGGCTGCACAACGTCGGGCGGCAGAAGAGCAGGCGCGGAGAGAAGCTGCAGCAAGGAAGATAGAGGAGGATCGCAGAAAGGCAGAAGCAGCTCCAAGGGCAGGCACACGAGGCAGAGGCAGGGGTGTTCGACCACGGGGTGCCTCGACATCGTCCACAGGGAACTATGTCGGTGTGGGTGGACAGACAGGACGCGGGGTCAGTCGTAGCGACTCACGAGGTCGAGCAGGCAGCGGCATCGGACGAGGGCTCCCGCGGGGACGAGGTAGAGGCTTGGGTTGATGGGACTGCACACATGCCTTCGCCTCACCTCGAACGCATACATGAAATACCCAATCGACATTTACACCTAGATCGTATACTTCGCAGTCTGGTGGCATCGAATGCTGAGGTCAGCACAATTTATCGTGCAATTTCCCGGTCGCCTCACTGAGTCCAACTCATCTTACCATCGCCGGGCATCCATAGCTTATTCTACCACGGCACTTTCCCCCCGAGCAACCGCGACACGAGACCTCAGAGACGTACCTGCAGCTCGATGCAGCTCACGGGCCGTTGGTGATGCGGATGCGCTTCTCAAAACGGCAAGGTCTGAGGACCCCACTTGTCGTCAGTTGGACCCCGCCGTGCAGTTACTTGAGATCTTGCGACGATCTGGGGATTTAATAGATTCTGCGCTTCCTTCTCAGTCAACTTCTTCTCTGTTTCTTCTTCTCTTTCTTCTTCCAATTGTGAACTCACAGATTGTGCAATGGAGGTCCCAACAGCGACGTCGCTACGCGACATTTACCCCGAAGACGCGCTCCCCGTCGAGACAAAGCGATGGGAGAGCCTACTCGCCAAGTTTAAGGACCTTTATGGCAAGCAACCAGACTTCGTCGCCAGGAGTCCAGGACGCGTCAATATCATTGGCGAGGTAAGTTAACTCCAAGGCGTCTATTACCTTAGACTTACATGTGTAGCACATCGACTACTCCCTGTACGAGGTTCTGCCCATGGCCATTACCGCCGACTTCATCATGGCTGTGGCCGTGCGACCATCTGAAGAGAAGCCCCGTGTACGGATAGCCAACCTCAACCCCGAGAAATTCCCCACCCGCGAATTCGACATTCCCGAGGGGGAGATCCCAATCGACGCGACCGAGCATGAGTGGACCAACTACTTCAAGTCTGGACTGAAGGGTGTATCACAATTACTACAAAAGAAGCGGGGAAAATTCACATCCGTTGGCATGGATATTGTATGCGATGGCACAGTACCCAGTGGTGGCGGTCTCTCGAGTTCAGCGTCTGTCGTCTGCACAAGCTCTTTGGCTGTGCTGGCTGCGAACGGTGAGGAGAAGATTGACAAGACCGAATTGTGCGAGCTTGCAATTGTATCTGAGCGCGCAGTCGGTGTTAACTCTGGAGGGTGAGTATTGCCTACCTTGTGTATTACCACAGCTAACAACTCGTAGTATGGACCAAGCAGCCTCCGTCTTCTCCCTCCGCGGCTCGGCCCTATACGTATCGTTCAAACCCAGTCTAAACTACACAAACATCGAGTTCCCCAAGACCGACCCCGAACTCGTCTTCGTTACCGCTCAAAGTTTCGTCGCTGCGGACAAGCACGTCACAGCTCCCGTATGCTACAACCTGCGCGTCGTAGAATGCACTTTAGCAGCCGTCTTTCTAGCCAAAGCATTCGGCCTAAAGAAAGAGCTCCCGACAGACTCCTCTCCCCTCGGCGTCAGCCTCCGCGGCTTCCACGACACCTACTTCGAAGACAAAGAGAACGTCTCCGACAACACCAAGATCTCCGTGTCAGACTTCGAAACACAACTCACAAAATTAATCCAACACACCGAGGACTACCTCCCTCAAGAAGATGGCTACACGCGCGCACAGATCAGCGGACTACTTGGTATCTCAGAAGATGAATTGAACGAACGCTACATGTCCAAGTTCCCCGTGCGCGCCGAAAAATTCATGCTCCGCCAGCGCGCCTTGCACGTCTTCACAGAAGCCCTCCGCGTGATCAAATTCCGATCGCTCCTCGCATCTCCC